ATGCCAAGTACTCCTCCTGCTCCACCTGCTCCGCCCTCCCTCCTCCTTATCCGTCAGTTTTCCCTCTCAAATGGCTCCTCCCTGCGCACCCCCGGGCATGTCGGCAGGGCGGGCCGGCAGCATCGCCTGAGACTCCCTCGCCGTTTGTGATCATGAAGCATGAGATCTGAGGTAGTCTCACGGATGGAGGGCGGGTCCTGGTCAAAAAATGAGGCCCTCGACTGACCACCGCGACCATTTGTCTGAACAGGTTGCAACAGCTTCAAAAAGTGGGTCCTGTTCAAAATGTGGCTCTCGCCTTAGCGCCGCGCATATTCGTCCGAAAAGTTTCCGACATGTTCGCGGATGTAGGGCGAGTCCTTTCCTAAAACGCGGCTCTCGCCTGAGCGCCGCGCACACTCGTCTGAAGGTTTGCAACAAGTTCACAGATGGAGGGTGGCACGCTTTCAAGATGTACATCTCGCCGTAACGCCGCGCACACTCGTCTGAAAAAGTCTGCAATGGTTTAACGGATGGAGGTCGGGCCCATTTCAAAACGTAGCTCTCGCTGTGGCGTCGCACACATTCGTAATTTCAGCTGGCAAGAGCTCCAAAGATGGAGGGCGGGCCGTTTTCCAGATGTGTCACTCGCCGAGCACCCTGCACATTGGTCTGAGAAGTGTTCCCAAGAGGCGTTCCGTCACGACTTAGAACTATCTGGACGCAACAGAGACCATCATCAATGGCGTTTAAGTCTCTGGAATGGTGTTATGTCGCGATTTTGGATTGTCAGGATGTCACGTCGATCCGCGGCGTTGAACTCCCAGGAACGTTTTTTTGGGGGGGCACGATTGAGAAGTCTCAGACGGTGGTCTTCTCATGAGCCACTTCCCCCATTGAAAACAAACCCTTGTATGGATCGATGAAGAGGGAACTTGGAGGGATGGCTTATTGCACCATCGTCGACGCGGCTTGAGTTTACGCAGGTCGTCCTCCTCCTCCTCCTCCTCCTTCACCTTCTCCTCCTCCTCCTCCTCCTCCTCCTCCTCCTCCTCCTCCTCCTGCTCCCCCTTCATCGGTTCCTCCTCTCCCTTACTACAAATTCCTCGCGTCCCTGGGTTCTGCCATCTGCACGGCCATGGTTGGATTGGCTGCGCCCGTGGATTCTGCTTTTGCGTGCAGCGAGCTCGTCAGCGGGCGTACGCTGCGACTACCTGCTGCTCGCAGTGGTATTGCGCCGAGACGTCATCCCACAGCGACCAATTCTTCGGCCACGACGCGGCCGCCTCCGCCGAGCTCGCCCCGGCGGCAGCCGCGACGCGCCCCGCGCACTCCGCGAAGACGCGGGCCGCGAGGTACTCCTTCGAGCAGGGGATCGTCTACAGAATTGAGTTGCCCCGAAATCAATTTTCCCGTCGAGCCATACGTGGAGTGTTCGTAGATCTACGAACCTTCCACGAAGTTCTCCTGGACTCGACGAACCAAACAATCTCTCGGAGAAAATCCAGTACGAAGCCGATCCCCTGCCCGACTCCTGCGGGAACCGCCACCCAGCGCCGGGGGAGTCCCCGCTCTGGCAGGGGAAGGACTTGGAGTAGCGGTGCTGCACCGCGGTGGGCTTCGCCGCCAGGTGCTGCTCCCAGGCGTGCAGGTCGCAGGTGACGCTCGAGGCGCGAAACAGCCAAGCATCCGCACAGGCTCGCGGAGCTCCGCGCGGACTCCTCCGCATCGGCCCTACTAGAGGCCCCTCCTCGCACCTGCGCGCGGAGCGCACCGGGAGGGCGACGCCGGAGGCGCCGCCAGGGCCGCCAGGGGGGTCCCAGCGCAGGTCCAAGGAACACGCGCGGAGGAGGAGGAGGAGGAGGAGGAGGAGGAGGAGGAGGAACTCCAGGAGTCTGTGCTTCTGCTGCTTCTTCCCCCTCGAGACGTAGGCGAGGGCGGGGAAGCGCAGCACGGGCAGGCCCCCGAGCTGCATGCGCAGCGCGAGCCACATCTCCGAGTTCACGCCGTGCTCGAACTTCGGGGTGCCGGCCTCCACGGGCCCGTTCTGGTCCACGACCTCCCCGAACCAGTCCTCCGCCATGCCCGTGAGCACGGCGTCCCAGTCGTCCATGATGCTCTGGACGCCCGAAATGGGTACCGAAAAGATGGGTACAATGCCCAACAGCAAATGCTGTCCCAAACCAACAGCGGCCGCTGTTGGGCGGGCGGCCTCCTGTCTCGAATGGACCCAGGCCGCGGCGGCGCGGACAGCGAGTCCTGTTCAGAATGAACAGGAACTGCTGTTGGACATTGTACCAATTCTTTCCGTACCCATTTCGGGCGTCCAGAGATGCCGGTCGTCTCTGCCTGCCACCTGGGCGACGAGAGGCAACGGGTCTTGCGCGACGTGGCACGGCGACGCTACGCAGTGGCTCACGCGGGCCGCCGGCGCGGCACGCCACATGGGAGGCGAGGGCGCTGAGGCGCGAGATTCCGCGCCAATGTCGGCGCAGCCGACCCTGGCATTGGGGAAACTACAAGTTACCAATCGTTCTGACCAGGATTTCGAGGCGAATCCAGCGGTGACGACGAGGGCCTCCGAGGAGGCCCGAAAAGGGGAAACACGGGGAAGGGGTAGAGGTATGGGAACCTCCTCCTCCTCCGAGTTTCCTTACGTCGCTCACCTGTTGAGCACCAGGTGCCTGTCGTAGTAGCCTCCCCAGTCATCGCCGAGCGTATCGGGGATCCAGGCGACCTCGTCCTCGCTGCGCCCCTTCGCGCCCTCCCCGAAGCGGTCCCCGACGTACGCGAGGAGCTGCCGCTGCGTGGGGTGCGGCAGGAGCCAGAGGAGGTTCGGGCTCCCCCAAAGGATAGGTCGGGCGTGTCCCCTACAGGCGGTGTTTGGACGAAAAATGAAAAATACCCCAAATTATTCAAGAAAAGTCAAAAAAAGATCGAAAAATAGTCCCCAGAGTAACCCAAAGGGGTGGTGACCCTGAAGGGGGGGGGGCATGAGTTCAATCCGCTGGTGCACCGAACTGCCGCCAACAGATGCCCCCCGCAGGCCCCGCCCATCGGCAACTGTCGGGAGCAGCCTGCGGCTGGGGGGCAGCTGTTTGTGGAGAACCGGCAAATGACACAGACATAAAAACTCGGAGGTCCGCGCAGATTTCTTGAATCCGCGCTGGACCCCCCTCCCTGGCGCGCGGAGCGCGCCAGGGGCGGCGCCGCCAGGAGGGTCCAGCGCGGACCCTCCGCGCGGACCTCCGACTTTTTAGGTTTATGTCATCATTCGTTTCCCCGGTCTGGGGCGATTCGATGCAGTCACCGATCGAACTCACACACACACCAGGAGAGCCCAAAATCGAATTTATAAGTCGGACCGGCGATCAAAATGAATCGGATCGGCGGAAGTCGGCAGCCGAGTCGGGAAAAATCGAATCGGCGGAAATCGGCAGGCTACTGGGCCTCCGTGGAGAAATCGGAACCCAAATCGGAATCCCAAGTCGAATCGAATCGGAATCGGAAACCATCGAAATCGAATCGATCCGAATCGGAGGAATCCAAACGAGCCCTGCGTTTGGATTCCTCAGATTTGATTCGATTCGACTTCGATGGATTCCGATTCCGATTCGATTCGACTTGGGATTCCGATGTGGGTTCCGATTGCTTATTGGAGGCGTACTAGCCTGCCGATTTCCGCACCTGGGGCACACACACACAAACACACGCACCCCTTGGCGGGATCCCGAGAGGTCGCTCCTGGAGTAGACCAGCGTCTCGTACTGCCGCCCTCCCCGCGCGTGCTGCTCGTGCTCCTCTTGGGGGAAACCGAACGCCCCCCTCGGACAGTGAACAAAAATCCTGGCGGGCTGTTTCTTCTTTTCGGCCTCTAGAGGCCCTTGGAGGAGGAGGAGGAGGAGGAGGAGGAGGAGGAGGAGGAGGAGGAGGAGCAGCAGGAGGAGGAGGCGGAGGAGGCGGAGGAGGCGAAGGAGAAGGAGGAGGTGGAGAAACCAGCCATCGGGACCGTCGAAAAACGACTCATGCAATGAAAAAATCATGGCGGACTGTCTTTTCTTCTCTTCGGCCCCTGGCGCGCAGAGAGGGAAAGGGGGAGGGGGGGGCTTCTTGGAACCCCGACCCCCTCGAGTCATAAAAAATCATGGCGGGCTATCGTTTCTCCTTTTCGGCCTCTAGAGGCCCTTGCGGGGCCTCGGGACCGTCAAAAAACGACTCAGAATGGAAAACTGGTTCAGGGGAATGGGTCGAGACCTCTGAGGGTCGGCGTTATGACAAAATCATGACGTCAGGGGTCTGGGGGGGGAACCAAGAGGTGCCGATACCGCTACTCCCCAAACCTGTCCTGGGGCGCCCTCTGACCAGGCTCTCGAGGAGAGCCAGCCGTGGCGACGAGGGCCTCCCAGGAGGCCCACGAAGGCGACGACGGTGGGGGGGGAAGCGGTATCGGTACCTTTTCCTCCTCGGAACTCCGCCACCATGCCAAGACACTGCTTCCGAGCGAACATCTGGAACACGTTGGAGCCTTCCACCCGGCCAACCGGCGCGGCCCAGCCGGACGTCTCCTGCGGGCAACATGTGTATACATTGCACTGCGGCTCAAATAATCGGGCTCCGCCCCCCAGAAACCCTTGGAGCCGTGGACACGGGCAAAATTCTGACCCCTAGAGGCTAGATGTTCATCTACATCCACTGCGCCTCGGCCTTTTGGCGCCCCCTCCCAGAGAGTCGAAGGCGCAGTGGATGTGCATACAAACCCCGCCCGCATCTCCGGGATGCTGGCGGCAGCGCACCTCGGGAGCCAGGGCGCCCCGCCGAGCCAATTGCCCGGGACGTTGCACATGGCCGAGGCCAGAGCCGCCTTCTCCTCCCGCGGCAGCGTGCGCATCGCCTGGGTGACGTTCTCGGCGAAGAGCTTCACCTGACGAGCTTGGGCACAGCACGCGCTTCTTGCGTCGGCGACTGGGCAGAGGGACTGCTCCAGCGATGTGGCAGACAATACACACTCACACTCAAACCTCTGGAACCATGTTGCTCCCATCGCACGTACGGGCCACATCCCAGAAATAAGTTCGAACACCCGGAAAAGTGTCGAAAGAGCGTGGAAGCAGTGTCGAACGAGTGTTTCCCAGGGCCCGACACGTGAAAACTCTAGAGTTTCGGTGCTTTCTGGCGCTCGAAATTCTTCCTGGTGATCAATGCTACAGTAGGTTGGAACATCAAACCTCTAGGAGGAAAAATGCGGAAGGACAAGGAGATGAGGGCGCAGAAGAATATGTGGCTGCGGGTTGCGGGACCCCGAGGGGGGCTCCCGTTCGAGCGGGCACCCCCCTCCGAACACACACACACACACACACACACACACACACACACACACACACACACACGCCCTGAGCCCCCAACGGCATTCCGCCCCGATCGGGGATGGACAGAAACCCCTTTAGTAAAACATGGTTTAGTGACAACGACCTCGGGCCCAAACCTGGCGGGCGCAAGCCTGGAAAATGACGGCGGCAACGACCTCGGGCCCAAACCTGGCGGGCGCAAGCCTGGAAGACGACGGCGGCGGCGCCCTCTCGAAAATCCAAAACGGACAATTCACCGATCGACGTGTCAGGGTGGGGGTCCTGTCCACCCCCGTTAGGTCGGGCATGTCCTCCTACAGGCGGATTTAGGACGAAAACCACAAATACCCACAAAACATATTCAAAAATAGTCAATGAGAAAATTGACAAAGGTCGTCCCCAGACTATTGTTTGATTATTTTGGAATACTCCTCTTGTGGAGGGACAAGCCCGTCAGAGGAGGGTCTGAACTGGATGGGACCCTAGAGAATCGGTCGGGGGGGGTGAATCCAAATCCGCTCAAAAACAGTCCCCGGACCCCCCCCCAGAGTACACCTGTAGGGAACGAAAAATGGCATGAACAGAAAAACTACGAGATCCGCGCGTTTTTCTCGGATCGGCGCTGGGCCCCCCTCCCTGGCGCGCGGAGCGCGCCAGGGGCGGCGCCAGAAGCGCCGCCAGGGGGGTGCAGCGCCGATCCGAGAAATACGCGCGGACCTCCGAGTGTTTCTGCTCATGTTAGCGTTCGTTCCCCTAGCCTGGTGCAGTTTTTCAGCCCAGGCTTTTTTATTCACGGTCCTGGGGCTCGAAAACGGACCCCAGAGGCCGAAACATAGTAAAGCACCTCTCCCGAGCCCAGCACCTCGAACCTGCCCGCCCTCCCTGCTGGCCGGAACCAGAGCTGGGCCACCTCAGACCCCTGAACGGCTCCATTTGTAAGGTTAAGTCGGGCGTGTCCCCCTACAGGCGGATTTTAGACGAACCATAAAAAATAGATTGTTAAACAAGTTATAGGAAGAAAGAAAAACAAAAACAAAAAAAAAAAAAAAAAACGTCCCCAGGATATTGTTTTATCATGTTTGAAGATTCCCCCCGTAGAGGGACAGGCCCGACTGAAATCTGAGGGTCGCATAGGCACGGGCGCAAGTTGGGCGACGATTGGAAACGGTTCCTACGCAAGATGGCGCAGCAGCCTCGCGTGATGGCCGACGCGGGCAGGCCAGCGCGGCACGCCACAGCAGAGCACGAGGGCGCCCACGCGCGGCCTGACGCGGCACGCTTTACGCGCCAGTGTCGCTGGCGACCCCGCTTTTTGAACGGGCGAGGAGCGGTATTGGAAGAAACTGCTTCGCTGTCGGGGGGCGCCTGTCCCAGGGCGGCTGGAAAGTTTGTATAGGGCAGTTTTCAATTAATGGGATATTTAAAAACATTGGTTTTTATATATATATATATATATATATAAACAAACAAAAAACATTGATAATATGTGGACAAATTCATGTATGAACTCATCGTTGTTTTTAATACTGGATCCCTGCATTGTTAATACATGATGCGCACGCGGAGCATGTACTGCAAACGGCACTGTACCCTCACGGTGGCACGTCGAGGTAGAAACGTTCCAGCCGCCCTGGGGCAGGCGCCCCCGACAGCGAAACCGTGTCCTCTGTACCGTTCTTCGCCCGCGGATTTTTCCTGCGCCGCTGTCGTCGGCCCCATGCCCCACCGACTTCGTGCACGGCTGCATCGTGAGCCAGCCCAGCGCCGCCAGGTCCTCGCGCGGCTTGGGGCCGTAGAGGAACAGGTCGGCGCCGAGGGGCGCGGCCAGCCTCTCCACGATGCCCGCGGCGGTGAGGTGCAGCATGCGCAGGTCCCCCGCGATGCTCGAGGAACAAGCAACAACAGACGCTCGGCGTCGCAAAAGAAAGACATCCAAAAAGAGAGCGCGGAGCTCCGAGCGTTTATGTTTGTGCTGCTTCCTCCCGCACGCTCGCCCCACGGTGCTGGGCGCCGGGGAGTGCGTGGGGTGGTGGTCGGCGAAGCCGGTGGTCCCCTACAGCTCGGGTGCTGCTAGGAGTGCCACGGGCCCATGGTGCCCCCAGCTTGTCGCTCCACTCTGGAGCAGGGCTGGACCGAAACGTTGCTCTTCGTTGTGTCCTCGTGTTGTTGCCAACCATCCTGTGGTGTTGGGTCCTCGCCTTGAAGAGGCAGCGCCCGGCGTCACTCCTCCCGCTGCCCCCTCCTCCTCTCTCCTCCCGTCACCGCCCTCACTTTGGCACACCCCTCACACGCTTCGTAGCCCCATGGGGAGCTCCACCGACGGCCCCAGTGGCACGGTCCGCATGCGGTTCCCCGCTTATGTCGGCACACCCCTCACACGTTTCGTGGCCCCATGGGGAGCTCCACCGAAGGCCCCAGTGGCAGGGTCCGCATGCGGTTCCCAGCCCATGTCGGCACACCCCACACACGGCTCGTGGCCCCATGGGGAGCTCCACCGACGGCCCCAGTGGCAGCGTCCGCATGCGGTTCCCCGCCCATGTCGGCACACCCCTCACACGTTTCGTGGCCCCTTGGGGAGCTCCACCGAAGGCCCCAGTGGCAGGGTCCGCATGCGATTCCACACCCACTTCGGCACACCCCTCACACGGCTCGTGGCCCCATAGGCAGCTCCACCGAAGGCCCCAGTGGCACGGTCCGCATGCGGTTCCCCGCCCATGTCGGCACACCCCTCACACGGCTCGTGGCCCCATGGGGAGCTCCACCGAAGGCCCCAGTGGCACGGTCCGCATGCGGCTCCCCGCCCATGTCGGCACACCCCTCACACGTTTCGTGGCCCCATGGGGAGCTCCAACGAAAGCCCCAGTGGCAGGGTCCGCATGCAGTTCCCCGCACATTTCGGCACACCCGTCACACAGTTCGTGGCCCGATATGGATGCCCGGCGAACGATGATCCCAGAACGCGGTATCCACAACTGCGTATGGTTGGGTCCTTCGTCATGCTAAGTGTTCGCTTTGCTCTACCTGTTTTCCTGTACCTCCCTGCCAAAACAACTTCGCCTGACAAAAGACCTCACCAGAATCAATTGCAGATACCGCGTTCTCGGTCCATCGTTCGACGGGCTTCCCTGTGGGACCACGAACCGTGTGAAGGGTGTGCCGAAATGGGCGGGGACCCTGCCACTAAAGCCCTCGGTGGAGCTCCCTCTGCACCGACGAAACGTGTGCGGGGTGTGCCGAAATGGCCAGGGAACCGCATGCGAACCCTTCCACTGGGCCTCGTGGGGGGGTGCTCCGGAGGCCCTCGGGGCTCCCCCGAGAATCCTGGGAGCACATTGGGCCGGGAGCATGCCTGGCAACACGCAAAGGTAGCGTGCGATAGAGCACCGCCCGCCCCCTGGACACGCCACGCCCCACCTTGGGGGTAGCCTGGGCCTAAGCGTTGCTTTCCTGTTGCTGCCGTGGTGTTGTTCCTTTCGCTCGAACTGTTTTCCTGTAACCTCCCTGCCAGAAGGAAAGACAAGACACAGCCGAAGTCCAGCAAAACAGCGTCAAGGCCCAGCCCTGCCTTCGGGACAGCGTGCCCCTAATCAGGAAGTCCTGGCAGGGAGAATGGCGTGCAGCGACGAGGCCCTCGCAGGGCGACAGCGGGGGAATCGCCTCGCATCCTCGGAGATGGATGTTGAACGCTATCTCTGCGACGTCAACCGTAATTCTGGAGGTATTTAGAGGAAACCCCAGAATACCGATACTGGTATTCCCTGGACCTCTCCAGGGGTGCGTTCCGACCAGAATTTCGAGGCGAATCCGGCGGTGGCGACAAGGGCCTCCCAGGAGGCCCCAAGAAGGCGAAAACTGGGCAAGGGCAGCGGTATTCGGGGGCGCGCAAACATGGATTAGCGATCCATGGATCTGGCGCGCGGTCGCCAAATCCATGGATCAGGGGAAGTGCCCTCCCCAAAATGCTGCCAGTGCCGCCTCGCACGGCGGGGGAAATCTGCGATTTCCCATGGAAACGGGACTCATCGCTAATCCACGCCGCCTTGATCCATGTTTGCGATCGCCTGGCCCTCCTCCTCCTCCTCCTCCTCCTCCTCCTCCTCCTCCTCATCTTCCTCCTCCGCCTCCTCCTCCTCCTCCTCCTCCTCCTCCGCCTCCGCCTCCGCCTCCTCCTCCTCCTCCTCCGCCTCCTCCTCCTCCTCTTCCTCCTCCTCCTCCTCCTCCTCCTCCTCCTCCTCCACCTCCTCCTCCTCCTCCTCCTCCTCCTCCTCCTCTTCCTCCTCCTCCTCCTCCTCCTCCTCCCCCTCCTCCGATCATTGCTTGTCCCTCGCGATGCAGACGGCCACGCCAGACGGCCTTGGCTGCCTCTGCGGCGGCGGCACCGGCAGCGTCGCCAGCGCCACCCTGGCCGACGCCACGCCGGCTGGGCCGCCGACGCCCCGCCGGCCCAGGCTCGTAGACAGTTCGGGTGTTGCTGGAAGTGCCCCTGGCCCAAAGCACCCCCAGGATTTCCACAAGGAGGCCCACACGGCCTGCAGGAGCAGCCCCCCCGAGGCCCAGAGGGCCCCAGGGGCTCCAAAAGCAAGCGAAGAGCTGGGGGCACCCTGGGCCAGGGGCACCTTCAGCCACCCCCGAGACAGAGGGCGCACCTCGCTCTCGTCGAGCACGCGGACAGACAG